CTGGAGTTAAGGACGGTTCGTAGCCGCCATGTGGGTGCTGGGAATCGAACCTGGGTCCTCTGCAAGAGCAGTCAATGCTCTTAATTGCTGAACCATCTCTCCAGCCCTGCTAGGTTTTCTGCCAGTTTTTCTTAATAACAGAGGGTGGCGGACGGTTGGGAGACCTACAATTACTATAATTTTAAATGGAATGTTTTTTGTACAGATATTATATCAGACCTTGACATACTACAGATACTTGATTTTCTTTTTTTGGTTTGTTAATTGGTTGCTAAAAGTTGCAGGGCAATGCTTTCTGCTTGAACTGTGATTTTTGTTGTTGTATTTTATTTGCTAATTCTTTTCTTTTCTTTTTCTTTTCTCTTTAGTACTAGTGACTTAACCTGGGCCCTCACACATGCTATGCAAGCACCCTACTACTGACCTATCTCTTCAGCCTTATTTTTCTTTCGTATTTTGTATTTTCTTTTGAGACAGGATCTCACTAAGTTGTCAGCTTAGCGTGAAGTCATTTGGTATTCCAGTGAGGCCTTGAACTAGTAATTCTACTGTGTCAAAACATATAGATTTTGTTTTGATATTTTCTGCTCAGAATATAGTTTTTCTCTATAAGTTGAGTGACTATGGATATTTTCTCTCTGCTTACCTATTTAACTAGAGATGGTAGAAGTAACATGTTATACGTGATTCTCTTAGGTACTAGCCCAATTTAGAGGCAGTCTGTTTTATATCATGTGTTCTCACTCTTTTTCCTTCAGATGGTCGATACCTAGATGATTCTTGGGTCAGCTCTCCAACTTCCAAACCTTCTAAACCACGAAAAGAGAAATCTCGCAGTCCTCTCAGAGCTACCACCCTAGAAAGTAATGTTAGGAGAAACAATCGTGTGGAATTTCGTGAACCTTTGGTTTCTTACAGGTTAGTATTGGGGGAAAAATGTTAGCGACTAGCATTGGCCTGTAACAATTACAGTAGGATTATGATTAATTTTCTCAGTTTTTCATACTACTATGAAATGGCATTAGTTAGCATTCCACTGCTGTGACCAAATGGCAGATAAGAAGTAACCTAAGGGAGGAAAGGTTTATTTGATTTAGAGTTTAGTCAGGAATATAGTCCATTATGGCAGGGTAGGCATGGCAGCAGGACCATGAGGCTGTTGGTCAACTTGTGTCTGCAGTAAGAAAGCAGAGAGAACAGGAAATGGGGTGGGGTAGCAAACCTCAAGGCCTGCCCCAAGTAACTCACTTTCTGCAGCAGCTGTCCATCCCCTAAAGGTTCTACAACCTTCTAAAACAGTGCTATAAGCTGGGGAATCAAGTATTCAAAAAATGAATCTGTGATTTTACATTCAAACCTCAACAGAAATGTTACTCTCTGTAAAAGATCATCCAAAAAACACCTTTCATATTATGAAATACTGTCTACCGTATTTTTTTGTTGTGTTAGATCTCACACGGTTGTCAAGTATCCTACCACTGAGCCACATTCCCAGTTCTGCATCTTATCTATAAGTATTTGGATGGAAGACATAGCAATATTTGCTCATGACCATCTGTCTGTCTGTTTGGACATGTGGAGTATTTCTGTCCATACAGAAAGTGGCTTCTGGGACCAGGCTTGTGCAAGTGCTGTTATCTGCTGAGCCATCTTGCCAATCCCACCCCTCTTTCTTAATATCTGACTAAGTATTCTATATAATGAATTTTGTAAAGTTTAGGTTTTTAAAAAAGTTTAAGATTTTAATTTTGAGTGTTTGCATATATGTGTACCATGTGCATGCCTGATATAGGCAGAGGTCAGAAGAGGGCGTTGGGATCCCCTGGAACTGGAGTTAAGGACAGGTGTTAGCCATCATGCAGGTAACAGAACTTGGATCCTTGGGTCCTCTGGAACCAGAGTAGTAAGTGCTTTCTACCACTGAGTCATCTCTTAGGTTTTTTAAAATTTTATTTTGTTTTGATGTGTAGGGGATCAAATGTAGGCCTCATGTTACATGTTAAGCATGCATGTAACTTAGCTCTCTCCTCTTCTTTCCTACCCGCCCCCTCCTTTTTTATTTTTGGTCTTTTCCAGACAGGGCCTCCCTGTTGCCCCTGACCTGGAACTCACCAGGCTGACCTTGATCTCATAGAGATCTGCTTGCCTCTTGAGTGCTGGGATTAAAGGTGTGTGCCACCACACCTGGCTCCTACATCTTCTTTTAGTGGTAGTAGTCAGTTATCTGAAAAATTTTTTTGAAGATTTATTTATCTTTTTGTAAACATTTTATTATTTTTATTTTATGTGTATGAGTGTATGCCTGCATGTGAGTGCACCCATGTCGTGCAATGCTGAGGAGGTCAGAAGAGGGTTTCGGATTCCCCTGGAACTGGAGTTAAGGACGGTTTGTAGCCACAATGTGGGTGCTGGGAATTGAACTGGGTCCTCTGCAAGAGCAGTCAGTGCTCTTAACCACTGAGCCATTTCTCCAGCCCCTGAAGATTTATTTTTATTTATGCCACATGTGTGGATGTTAACTGTGACCAGAAGAGTGTCAGATCCCTGGAAGCTTGGAATTACAGGTGATTGTGAACTGACTAATGTGGGTATTGAGAACCAAACTCAGGTCCTCTGAAAAAGCAGAAAACCTTCTTAAACACTTATTCATCTCTCTAGCCCCTGAAATTTATTTCTTTTAAAAATAAATTTTGAGATAGGGTCTCCCTGTAGCCCCAGCTGGCCTGGAACTCACTATGTAAACCAGGCTGGCCTTGAACTCCCCCCCTGCCTCTGCCTCCTAAGTGCTGGGATTAAAGGCATGCGCCACCACCCCTGGCTTTTTAAAAAATATTTTATTATTATTTTATATGTATGAGTGTATTGCCTGCATGTATGTGAGTGCACCCGTATCATGCAGTGCAGCAGAGGTCAGAAGAGGGCTTTAGATTCCCCTGGAACTGGAGTTAAGTTCGGTTCGTAGCCGCCATGTGGGTGCTGGGAATTGAACCCGAGTCCTCTGCAAGAGCAGTCAGTGCTCTTAACCGCTGAGCCATTATATCTTTTAAGAAAAGAGAAAAAACAAAAACCAAAAAAAGGGGATAGTTGTTAGTGGAATGCCCCTTTCCACCTGGAAAACTCTCCATTTATCACTTAAAATTCTACCCTTACCTCTCAGACTGGCTTTTATATAGCCCAGGCTGGCCTCCACTGAAAATGACTTTCAACTTCTGACCCACCTGCTTCTGCCTCCATCTTTCTCTATTGCTGAGATCATGGGTATGCAGCATTATGCCTGGTTTATGTAGTCCTGGGGACAGACCTTGTTTATGCTAGGCATGCACTCTACTAACTGAGCTACATCTCCAGCCCCTTGAAACTCTTAATACCTTCTGTATGAAACAGGACCATATCTGTTCCTGCCTGGATTAGTTACTTTTGCATAAGTATGACCAGATTTCCTGAGAGAACAACTTAAAGGAGGAAAGATTTGTTTGAACTCATGGTTTCTAAGGGCACAATCCATGGTTGGTTGGACCCATGTGCTTGGGCAGAGCATGATGGAATTATAGATCGTTGTGAGCTGCCTGACATGGCACTGGAAACTTAGTTCCCGTCCTCAGCAAGAGCAGCAAGCACTCTTAACTGTTTGACCATCTTCCAGCCCCCTTGATTTTCTTTTCTCCTTTGCGAGTGAGAGGTGATATGTTATTCTCTCATGTGCTAATTTTAAACCTAAATAACTTAATTCAATTGTTGCATTTTAGTGATGATAATGAACATCTTTGCATTTAGTCTTAGTGTCTGATGATAGCCATAGGACTCATTTCTTAGCCTGTTTTGTTTAATATCAGTGACTAAACAGGCTTTAAACACTTTAGGGTCATAGATCCTAATGAGAATATGATAAAAGCTATAGACTATCTCCTTAGAAAAATTCATATGTTCATACACTCACAATTGATATAATTGCAGTGTTATGTTGAATAAGGTTGTAGCTTTAAGAATTTTTGTGGTATTTAGGGTTTTCTAAATGTGAATTGGTCTAGATTAGGCTGTATAATAGAACTATTAATGTTAGGTATGCATGTCATTTAAACATTTTTAGTAGTCATACACTGTTCTGGTTTGTTTCTTCATTGCTGTGACAAAATACTCTGACCACTACCAACTTGGGGAGGAAAGGGTTTATTTAGCTTACATATCCCAGGTCACAGTTCATCCGGGAGCCCAAGGTAGGAACCTAGGGCAGGAACCTGGAGGCAGGAGCTGGAGCACAGGCCATGGAGGAA